TCATCTTCTGATGATATTGACTTGGTTGGCTAAACGCGCGTCAAATATTTTTGTTTTGGTTTGAGAAAAGTGTTTTCAATAAATGCATTTTACGTGGATCCATTACTGAATAGATAAAATTTTCTATTTTTAGAATTATCCATTTTTGAAATACATCAATTGTAAAATATTTTTTTTTACAAAAGGTAAAAAAATGTCGGTTCTTGCCAGTTTTTGAACTGAATATCGGTAAATCATTGTCTTTATATAATCATCTTCATTTTTAGCCCTGATGGGGGATGGGCACCATGGTTTGATCAATAATGTCCGATCTACCAAAAACCGGATGATCTGAACAATAAACAAAGTCATCTTCAGAAAAGAATGTAAGTAAATCTCTCTCTCTCTCTCTTTCTCTGTGCCTATAGTACGAAACTCTTGTTCCTTGAGTTGAAAAATGTTTCTGTTTTAATGGAGAAGCTAAAATTTCCAATGCTTTCTTAGAAAGGCCAAGGTCCCTGGCCAAGATGTTGAGCTCTTTTTGGTTAAAGGACTCGGATTCTATCGATTCCAATAAAGGTTTCATACATTTTTTCAAATTTTTTGTGTTGTTTTGAAAATCAAATCCTATACCTCTTAAAAAATCACCCATTATTTTCAATCTTCTCTTAGGGTGGATCAAAGCTGTCGAGATGAAGTAGTCAATGAGAAAGTCTGATTCAGTTGGTTTAAGACATTTTTATTACCTTTGCCCGATACTTGATGATTATATTTCGGTACATATTATTTGGAATATGGGTTGTATTTATTTAAATTGAACTATAGAATCACTTTATATTTCAAAATGAGGAATGATAAAACTTTCAGCCATGATTATGGAGATAAATACTGGAAAAACGTCATCGGCGCACAAATATGATTCCATGGAGAGACAGCTAAAGGAATATATGAGACATAAGCAATTACCAGCGCCTATGAGGACAAGAATTCTAACATATTACGAATTCAAATTTCAAAAAAGATATTTCAGGGAGAGTGAAATTTTGGCAACTATTTCGGAACAACTGAGACAGGTAAAATATGTTCTTTCCAGGATTTTTCGTTATCTTCAAAACATGTTTTTCAGGAAATGAACATGCACGCTTGTAAAAAACTAGTGGAGAATGTAATTTTTTTCCGGAATTTGCCATTGAACTTATTAGTTCGAATCATTTCGTGTTTACGGATAGAAGTTTTTCTGGTAAACGACGTTATCATTAGGGCCAACACCCCCGGAGCGAGTATGTACTTTATTTCGACCGGAACTGTTGCCATTTATACAAAATCCGGAAAAGAGGTAATTTTTGTTTCTTTGAAATATTATTATGTGAAGAGACATCCGTTTATACATTTTTATATTTCCTCTTCTTCCTTTGGTCAATGGTTCTATATATTTTTTTATGAAGGCGCTATAAAATGTGTAGCTGACTTCTCATGGGGTGATTATATAATGAAAACTTTGAGTTTGGAGTACAGAAGTATTTCTTCGCATAACACTGTATAAATTGTGTTTTGACATTTGGACTCCGTGTCACTATTTGGGAAAAATCCATATAGCCCATCATTCATAACATAATGATTTTGATTTTTCAAAATATTCAAAGAATCTCAATAATATTCTGATTTCTCAATAATTTTAGATAACTCTGGTAAAACAAAAATTGGTCTATAATTTGTCATTTGGTCTNAAAATGTTTATTCGGGTTTATTATTTTTATATGCCGATGTAAATATTAAAAGCAATTTGATTTACTGTCTATTAGTATCTGCCGGATTTTCACAAATTTAAATTTTTTCCTTTATTTCTTACGAAAGATTCACAGAAGAATTTTTATTTTTTCGCCTGAATATACAATGTACATTTTCTGAACCTTCTTCGTTCAACACAGTGAAATTGATAGTATCATAAAAACTATCAAAATTAAAAGACAAGTTGCCTAGAATTGAAAGGAAAATTAAAGATAAGAAAAAAAGTATATTTTATAATAATAAAAAGAGATTTCATTGCTCCCAACTACAAAATAAAATTTCGAATACATTATGTTAAGTTAAGTCTTGACGGTAAGCGTGTTTCTGCTTCCATCGGCGCCGGTGCCGGTGGTGGCTATTTTCGAGCTGAAATTAATCCCTTTTTCTTTCGATTTTTTTCTTTCTTGTTTGGAATGTCGACACTTGGTACAGGAACTGGTAGTTTTTTCTTTCTCACCTCCTGGATAATTGGACTCTGGAATTTCCCTAATTTCAAGATCCTTGGCATTTCCGACAGTGTAAGATTCACCATCAATGACGAGTTGATGACCTACAACGGTGGCTCTTAGATTCTGTTCCTATGCTTTTTTTAGGTGAAATTTCAATACTGACATATTGTTCATATCAGCCTCTGAAATGTTCAAGTCTAGTGCCTTATACAGCGTGACTCACTGTCGATGGTAGGTTAGACGTTTCTGGAAAACGCAAAGCATGATTTTTCTGAAATTTCACCTTTCACATTTTCTTACCTGTTCTATCGATATAAAATATTTTCAGCATTGCGGCGTTACCACTTCCATCAAAAAGTACTAGCAACTTTATTTTTTTAAATGGAACACCCCGCATATTAATACATTTTTGGAATCGCTCTGGTATTTTAATACTTTCCTATAATAATGTCCTATACCTATCTCTATCTGTTTTCGAGATAAAAAATAAATTGTGCTAAATATGGTCCAAAACATAGCCTCAAATGAAATTAAGTACATCAGTACTCTCAATTCATGAAAAGTTGATATTTAGATGATAGTTTGGACAAACTCGAAATATTCAAATAACACCAAGAAATCGACTCCATATCATACAGGGCGTGCTAAAATCACTATTATTTCTATTGTGCATAAAAGTAGTCGAAAGTTCATTTTTTCAAATGAAACCCCCTGTATATTACTCGGTAAATTGAAAGATGGTGAAAAATGCTTCAAGATGATATATCATGTCCCTATACCTAAATCGTCAAGTTTTCTCAATAAAGTCGCTTCTTCTAGAAACATTATTTTTTTTTAGAATTTGGATTTAGGTAGCAGTGGAATTATCAAGCTTATAGCAGTTCGGGTACTTTTATAAGTAACTAGTACTATGTTGCTGTATCGCTGCTGTTCCAATGTTTTGACAGAATCAGAATCAACGAACTTAGGCGTGCGCTGCGTTATAGAAAAGTGCTTTCAAAAATTGTTCTACAGCACCATCTAGTGGCGAGCTACAGAAAAATTGATAGCCTATAAACCTTTTCTATGAAAAATTACTTATACATGTCAAGTTTCATCACGATCGGTTGAACGATGTAGAAGTTTATCACTTACCAACCAACCAACCAACAAACATCCATTTTTATATATTAGATTTACAAATAGTAACTTTTTCCTTTTTTTTCTTTTTTTTTTGTTTTTCTTATCTTCATATTACACTATAAAAACGGATTCACATTCGTTTGAAACATGACAGAACGCGATTTATAAGCTATCTGGTAGTCCTGTTAGTTATATTCTACAATATAGAGTATACAACCTCACTGAAAAGTGAAATATCATTTCTGAAACTACTATTTTCATATATTCTAAAAGAATTTTGAAAAGATTTGTATTATTTCTTGTGACTACAAGTTGTTTCAATATTATTGGGTACGTCAAATTTTCAATTTTCAGTTTTTTGTATACGTTATCAAAATGTTCTTCATTTTCAACACATTTTAGAATTAGATGATCTAACATACCAGTTTTCCCACATGAGCATAATGCACTCTTCCTTATTTCNTGGCTATGTTCACAGTTTCAGCTGTTTAGCATGTTCAGTTTATTGGTAAGAGGCATACAAGTTTTTGCATGTTCGGCGATTTCCTGCTATCAAATAAAATGGATGATAAAATTTGCATCAAATTTTGTGCAACAAATAGAATTAAGTGCTCAAAAACACTTGAAATGTTGACAGTGGCATACGGTGATTGTACTCTGAGCCAGATAAATGTTTACAAATGGTACAAGTTTTTCACAGAAGGTCGAGAGGATGTGAATGACACAACATTTTTTTTCATGGACTCTTCAAGTTATCTTTTTTTTTTGAAAAATGTTATAAGCATCAATCAAAATAACCCAAACATGAGTATATTGGTTGAAATATAAAATACATAATGCATGCTTCTTTGCAATCCTTCTCTTTTCAATCTCGCTTTTGTAATCCCTTTGATATATTATTTGATTAAATTCATACCTAGGATGGTGATGATTCGACGTTATGATTCAAAAGTCGGACTCGGACTGCCATGTTCTGAGGTGATATATTGGTGGAGGGAGAACAATAGCTTAAATTCATATTGGAGAATGGCAGATATAATGAGTGATTTTTTTGCTGGTATCTTTTTGGCAACACTGTATTTGACAGATCACGCGTGAATCGTGTCATTGTCAAACTTGTTCAGTTTGGTCTATAATTTAACCATGAATCGACTTACGAATGAACAACGCTTGCAAATTATTGAATTTTATTATCAAAATTCATGCTCGGTGAAAAAAGTGCATCGTGCACTTCTTCCAATTTATGGGCAGTTTTGTCGGCCTACTGAGGGAGCTATTCG